TTTTTTTTTTGATGTAGCATTTTATAAAATTAATATCTATGACTATTTTTATTACAATATTAATTGTAGACTATTTTCTTCTTAACAATACGAGAGACTTCTAATTTTATTTTACAAACATTAATAGTTTAGGTATATTAAATTTTAGTTTAAAATAATTTAAGTAGTTGTATAGTTATTCTACTTCAATTCAGATGTTATAATATTTATCATCACTCAATTTTTAGAAGTGTCCCAAGACGAAACATATATAACAAATAAACAATTGTCAGCAAACACCCAAAATGCTATATATAATTAAAAAGTAATTAATCAAAATTAGTACCTAATTAAATTATTTGAACTGAATATTTAATCTTCAAACATTTAAACTGTGATAAGTTGAAATGAAAAAAAAAAAAAAATGATATTTTTATGGTTAAAATAATATTATTTTCATTATACCAATCAATAATATTATATTTTGCATAATATATTAATAAAACAACACAATATTTCTAACTTCTTGAGTTAAAAACATTAAAATATATAGATACTTAGTTAAAAATGTTAACTAAGTAAGACTTAATAAATGCATACAACTTAATTAAATATTTCTAGTCTGATAAGAGGTAACTACCTTAGTTATCTAATAAGTATAATTGTATGAACTAGGCATTTCAATGTTAAAATCACAATAAAAATGTGAATATATGGCCAGTAAATGGTATTTAAAATTTCTTATTTCTGACAACTATATAGGTGTATAATTTACCATAATTGCATATATATTTCAACTTAGTCGTTGATTTTTGTATAAGTTGTTAGAGTTTTCAATTTTTTATCATTTAAATTATGACTAAATTTTAAGCGCTAACTAATCCATGCTTAATTTTTCCATATTATACAATAAATAGATATATATATTATATACATTAATTTAAAATCAAAAAAAATGTTCACAACATTATATTTAAATAAATTATAATTGAATATATTAGGTAGTCTGCTTACCGTTTCATGCAGCCTTTAAAAGTCATATTTGGTATTTTATCTGAAATAAATAAATTATTAAACTTTATGATAATGGTACCAAATAGTAAATAATACAAATAAATAAATCTACTAAATGTCTTAATCATGGTCTAAAAGAAACCTAGTTCAAATTTCTAAGTTAAATATAACTAATTAAGTATTTAAATATCATCAGTAATATTGATAAAACTAATAATTATTTGTTATGACAATTATATTAAGGAAAGACACAATAGTAGATATATATAGTATATAGGTATAACTGTGTAATTTTTAAACCTACAATACTGTAAGTTAGAATTTATGAATATAAATAAAAATAAATAATACAATGTATCATACTACCTATACTGAATTAATAATTACACACTCTAATAGTTATAAATTTCACATAAAAGTTAATGAATCATTAAAAATAAATAGGTAGGTATGTATTTATATTTTTCTAAATTACTTAATAAGATTTAAATAAACATAGACGGTACCTATACAACGTAATACTATATTATTTTATTTAATTTTTATGCAATTAGGTATTTAAGACAACATTATATTATAAAGGGTATTGATAACTTACCAGTTAACATTAAGATGCCTATTTTAACTACATAGGTATACATTTCATTTTCAGATTTTACCATAGAAATAAAAAAACAAATACAATATTGTTAAAGGCTATAACACTGGTCGTTTGTATTCAAAAATTTGAAAAAAACACAATATCATTCAAACATTTAATATGTAATGCAACAATAGCTAATTAATTATGACAAATAATTATTTATTAATAACTTTTGTTTCAATAAATTTCTTATTTTTATAAAAAAAATGTTTTATGTTATGTATAGTAAAAAATTGGTTTTGGATATGTTTGTAAATAAAATGCATATTTTAAAATTTCATTTYATATACAAATCCTAGGCATACTTAGATATATTTAGATTTGTGTGTGATATATTTTAATATACCTATTATACAGAATCTTCTTTAATGTCCGAAACAGTGATTCACATTAAGATTACATGTGTATTTATGAGTCATCAGTGCCTAACTATATAATATAAAATATACTAGTGATCCA